CTCCCCGCCGAGCAGGGAGCCCGATGCGGGACTCGATCCCGGGACTCCAGGATCATGACCTGAGCCGAAGGCAGTCGCTCAACCGAATGAGCCACCCAGGCGCCCCAACAACAATAAAGCTTTTAGAAGAAAACATAGAGACAACATCTTTGTAAGCTGGGAGTAATTTTAAAAAGTGCTAACCATAAAAGAAAAAATTAATAAACTGGACTATATTAAAACTATAAATTTTTATCTAATGCATCATTAAGTGAAAAGGCAAGCCACAGAGATTATCATACATTGTGACTATTATCAAAGAGATAATGTTAGAGTCACAATGTATGCTCTAACAAAGAATTTGTCCAAAATGCATAGAAAATTATAAATCAAAGTGGAAAAAACTCTTCCAAAGAAAAATGAATAAAGGTCTTGAACAGACACTTCACAAAAGAGAATATCCAATGACTCAAAAAGTCTTCAATTTAATTAGTCATTAAAAATGCAAATGAAGACCACAATGTGATATGACTCTTCCCACCGGGATAGAAAATAATAGTGAAAAAGATGAAAAAATACCACATGTTGGGCAGGTGTGGAGTGACTGGAACGCTCATACACTGCTTAAAGGAGTATAAACTAGTACAACTACTCTGACACATTGTTCGTCAGTATCTTTTAAAGCTAGGCATATGATCTAGCAATTTTACTCCTAGGCAGATGTAAAACAGAAATGTGTTAATGTGTTGAGTGATAAGTACTAAAAAGTTCATAGCAGTAGCATTTGTAAGATCCCAAACTAGAAGTTATCCATATGTTCTTCAACAGTACAATAGATAAATAAATTGTAGTATATTCACATAGAGGAATACTACCAGTAATAAAAATGAGCTACCTACAATTACATGCAAGATTAAGGATGGATCTTACAAACACAATGCTGAAGAGACCATACCCAAGAGTACATATTCTATAATTCCATTTGCATAAAGTAGAAAAATAGGCAAAATTAATGTAGGCTATCAGGAGAGTGGGTATTGACAGACAGCATGGTGGGGGCTGCTTTTTGGATGCTGGTAATGTTCTGTTTCTTGATCTGTGTGCTAGTTTCACAAATGTGTCTGGTTTGTGAAAATTCATTCAAGTAAAATGAAGTTTACTACAGCATGACAGAATTTACAGGTGTAAACACTACTTGAATTTTATGTTCAAGAAATTATAAGACAGGTAACAATTTAACTCATATATAGAACACTGGTTAGTCAATTTTTCACTTTCTACTGATGTACAGCAGAAGTCAATACTCACAGTAAATTTAGCTCTTTCTTCCATCACTTCATAACCCAGTATAGTAGGTGTCGAAGGTCTATCTTCCAAATATACTGTTTCAGGATTTTGTTCTTCACTTTCTCTTGGTCTAGCAGAATACTCAATGGAAGAATCTGCACCTGTAAATTTAGTCCTAATGAGGGGACTGCTACAGACAGATGAAGTACTATCCATTTGATTGGGTACACTTGTCTGTTTAAAATTACCCATATTTGAGTCCTCTAAGTGGCCTTTGGAAGAGTTTGAGCTTGTTGAGATACTCCCAAAAGAAGAACTTCTTTGGTTTCTGTTGGTTGCAAAACTGGAAGCAGAGTTCCCTATGGGCATAGGAACTGGGACATAAGGAGTTGCCATCTTCTTTTGGCCTTTGCAAAAAACCTGCACAATGCTGAGTCCAAATACTTAGAGAACAACTAATATGAAATCCATTATTTTCTTCTTAGGAATTCACTATCTAAAAACGAGAAAAACATATTGAAAGGTTAGTCTTTAATTTGGAGTATTATCCAAAAAAACCTCAGAATGTTCACATCCATTTCTTTTGATTTTGTGACACTCCATTACTTCATTTGGAATGAAAACACACCTCAAACCTCTTCATTTAATTCCAAGATATCATCTCTAAGGATTCCCATTTGCAAGGTAGAGAACAGAATTACTCCACATTCTTTTTCTTGACCTTCATATTACATGTCATCCTTTTTAATCTTCACTTTCTTTCCTGATGTGATAGATTTCTGTAATGTTCATTTTAACCTGATATCATCTATATATTAGAGTTGGGAACAGGAAGAGTGGTAAAGACCTTTCTGAAGCTTTATTGTCTACTTATGGTCCTGACAGCTTCACATACAGTACAAGGAGGGAAGGAGGAGAGAAAAGAAAAGGAGAATTATTCACATTTCCTTTTAATTAGTGAAACTCTAAAGAATTACCCAGAGTAGTAACAGTGAACCACAAGCTTACATGCTACAAGGTAAATATCAATTGTTCTTAAGGTAATAGTTTATTAAACCCAGGATCAAATGTATTTGAAAAAAACGTGGTCAAATTAAATTAATCAAGTAAGACCCAAACTTACATCCAACAAGATGAAATGATTGAAAGTTAAAATGTTCTTCATAGTTTCCAGATCATCAGTAATGCTACTATGTCAGAAACTGAGGGAATTTAACAAATCCTTCTAACTCATATCCAGTAATCCCTGTTGTCAAAAGGACTGGTTTATCTTGTCTCAGAATCTCATAGTTATACAATGAAGAAAAGGTTTACCACTAAATTGTTAAATAATAAACTAAGAACTTGTAATAACTACAGACCTGTGAAATGGCACATAACAAGGGGTCTGCCTATCTTAACTACATCTAGGCAACTCTGCTGGTGAGAAAGGTAGGAAGAGAGCCGCCCGGACTTGGAAAGATGCTGAAGTAAGATTTTTTAATCCAGCACGTGGCTCTGGGCAACCTTCCTCATCATCAAAGATTCACTTGAACTGCTGATTCACTGCTCCTCGGTTCTGCTTGATGGCCTCCCCCCAAAAGAAGTAAATAAAAGTCTGAAATCTTATCCTTTTCAAGGCCTTTGGGATAATCCTGCCCTTGCCACCCAACTACCTGAGGCCCCAGGGCTGGGGAGAGAGGACGCATATCAATACGATCACTGACGTGCAAAGCAGTGAGCGCTACCCAAACTTTTAAGAAAATGTATTGGGATCATTAATAGCGTCTTCACTTTTGCCTTAGCATGGAGATGCTCCAAGGAATAACATCGTAGTCCTACACTGGAAAATCTCGGTCAGGTGAGGTGGCCCGAGCCTGAGCAACGCGGTAGGAGAGAGAAGTGGGTGGCGAGAGAAAAGTGGAGAAACCCAGGCGCAGCTCGACCCTAGGAGCGCCTGGTCGGTGTCAGGGCAGTCCACGGGTCTTCGGCTCAGTGGACGGGGAGACCCACTACTCCCGGGGCTCCCAGGAGCCCCAAGACGGAGCCACCTCCGCCGCCCGGCGCGAGGCCAGCGCCTCCCACACACTCCGCGGAGTCTGCGGTGGCCTGAGGATGGCCCGGAGGCTCCCGCGGGGTCCCTCCACCCTCCGGTGGAGTCCGCCCGCCGCCCGCCAGCCACGGGGGCGCAGGTGTCACTCGCATGAGCGCCCAGGGCAGCGCCCGCTGCCTTGTCCCTACCTCAGCCCACTCCGCGATTCCGTTTGAACGCACTTCCCTGTGACGGTTAAATCCGACCCTCCTTAACCGCAGCTTTTCGTCTCCACCCACAGCACCAAGAAGCCTCACGTGACTTTCCGCCCCCAAAGCAGCTGCTCCCAGCCTCAGCCGGGCTCTACCCTGGCCACCCGGCCCAGGATCCTAGCGAGGTGGAGGGTGGGGCCAAGCCCCGGCGCCTCTCCCGGAAGTGACGTCACGCAAGGGCGCTTTTCTCTCCCACATCAATAACCGCACCCCACCCCCAGAGGCGCGGAGTGGAGTTGTCCGGACGGGGCTCTTTGGCAGCCGGGTTGGACCTTGTTTTGTGGTAAGAATTCTACCTTCTCTGCCCTAGCTTTATTTTTATAAACTAACTTCGACAAATGGGGTTTAAGACTCCCAGTTTGTCGCACAGGTGATCAGAAGGTTACAGTTCCGAGGAAGAACTACAGCCAGGCTCCTGCTTTGCATCCTGGGACTTGTAGTCATCACTAGCTTGGGCTGGTTCTATTAGGTTATAGATGTTTTCTAGAATTAGCGCTTTAAGGGATGACAATAGATTCTAAGAGTGGGAAGATAGAACACTGCACTTAAGCTTATTCGCCCTATCATTGGCAGATAATTGAAATTGCTGAGTGGCATTGTTTGTTTTTTTTACAGCCCAGGGAGCAATTTTATCTCAAATGATACAATATTGGGCTTGTTAGACTTGACATCTGAAGACCTGTAAAGTTACCGGGAAAGCTGTTTTTTGATAGTCAAATACCAAAATTTAGACAGTTTACAGGGTTGTTTATCATTAGAATTGTGCATTTTGATTTAAAGATCATCCCATGATATCTAAGGCTTTGGAACATTCCCAAGACTGGGAAAAATTGATAGTTGTAATTTCAAAATGAGCATAGGAAGATAATCTGGTTTGTGGCATAATAATCGTTTTGGTTGATGATATTGCCCTTCTTGTGTGAGTGAGACATAAAAAGAGAATTTTGTGGAAACAGTAGACTAAAACATGAGGTAGTTTTCAGTTAAGAGTTGGCAATCTTGGTCTTGAAGTGGCAGTTATATCCATGAGTTCTGTAAGTGAATAAGGATATAGAGAGAAAAGAAAGAAAAAAATGAGCCTTGGAGTATTTCCTTCACTTGTGGACAGGGCTGCAGGTGGTAGCAAAAGATACTTATAATGAGGAAAACATGATAGTCCAATATCAAGGAAGGCAAGGCAAATTAAACTGTCAAGAGACAGAAGTGTACAAATACCACAGTTAGGAGGAGGAAGGATCTAGAAAAGTTGAAATTGTCCAAGAAGAACTTCCTTCACAAATTATTGAAAGGAGCATACAGGGTATAGATACTATATATATTCTTTATCTTGCAGACTACTTGGTATCGATAAATGTCTAGATTTTACTTACAGAAAATGAACTGAACATCTTTTTTTTTAAATAAAAGAGTTTTTAAAGTTGAGGTATAATTTACACATTACATTACATTAGCTTTAAGTGTGAAACATAATTATTTGACATTTGTATATATTGAGAAAATGCTCACCACGATAAATCTAGTTAACGTCTGTCACCATACATAGTCCCAGAAGTTTTTTCATGTGATGAGGACTGTAAGATTTACTTTCTTAGCAATTTTTAGATATTCAATCAATACAGTATTATTAACTGTAGTTGCCATGCTATACATTATATCCTCATAACTTACATATTTTATAACTAGAAGTTTGTACCTTTTGACCCCTTTATTCATTTTGCTCACCTCCACTTCTGGCAACCACCAATCTGTTCTCTGTATCAATGAGCTTGCTTTGTTTTTGTTTTTTAAAATTCCATATATAAGTGAAATCATACGATATTTGTCTTTCTGTGACTTATTTCACTTAGCATAATGCCTTCTAGGTCCATCCATGTTTTCACAAGTGACAAGATTTCATTCTTTTTTATGGCTGTGTAGTATTCTGGTGTGTGTGTGTGTATGTATATGTATATGTATATATAAATATCTTTATCCATTCATCTACTGATAGACATTTAGGTTGTTTCCAAATCTTGGCTATTGTAAATAATGGTGCAGTGAACATGGGAGTACATATATCTTTTTGAATTAGTGTTTTTGTTTTCTTTGGATAAATACCCAGAAGTGGAACTTTTGGATTATATGGTAATTCTATTTTTAGTTTTTCTAGGAACCTCCATACTGTTTTCCACAGTGGCTGCACCAGTTTACATTCCCACCAACAGTGCCTGAAAGTTCGCTTTTCTCCACATCCTCGCCAACACTTGTTATTTCTTTTTTTTTTTTTTTTAAAGATTTTATTTATTTGACAGAGAGAGACACAACAAGAGAGGGAACACAAGCAGG